TGCTGTGCTGCTGGACTTAAAGAAGAAGGAAGGCTCCGTGAACCAAGGAATGCAGGCAGCTTCTAGAAGCTGGAAAAGGCAAAGAGACAGATTCTCCCTTAGAGCTCTCAACAGGAACCAGCCCTGCTAACATTCTTGCTTTTCACTATAGAGGTTGATTTAAGACTGACCTCCAGAACCATAAGAGAATAAATCAGGGCTGTTTTAACCGACTACCTCAATGGTAACATGTGATAGCAGCAATTGGAAATTTATACAGAGGGATCCAGAAAGATTAGATTGCTCCCATTGCCATCCGTGAAGACCCACACAGCTAGCCCCTAGGGCCTTTTCTCCAAAATCCTGCAATTCATCTGCACTGCCTGAAATGACCAAGTCACATATCACTCTCTACTGGACTTTGAGGCTCTAGTGAGATCTGGTGAGTGGCATCTGCTGGGGGAAAAAGGACAAGTCACTGTCACAATAAACATGCCAACCTACAGTGTCTACAATCTGAACCATGCATGCAGTGCCCTGTGGGATTTCTAAAAGAAATTTCTAAAAGAGGCCATGTGGTATAATGGGTTATCAGCTAGAATCTAGAACCTGTGTTTAACCTCAGTTCTGCCACTGACTAGCCCAGTGAATGGGTCAAGTTACTTACCCTGTCTGTGACTCCATTTCTTAATCTGAAAAATGGGGATGATGCCAAAGGCACTTTCCTGCTAAAGTCTTTGCAAAGCTGAAGTGAGTTCACTTGTGTCAAGTGCACAGTATGTAGTAAGGGCTCATTTTATCTTAGACATTATGGAAGTAGAGTTGAGACCTTTGCTCAATTCCCCCACAAAGGAAATTTTCTCTCCAAGACATTAGTGAGCAATGGGGAGTGAGTGTTTAAGTTAAACAGATATCGTGGAGCTCAAAATTGCAATTGACACAAACTAAAAAAATGCATCAAGTGTCTCAACAGAAGAATTGATCAAGCAGAAGAAAATTTATCAGCTCTAAGGCTATTGGAAAATACAGTCAGAAAAAAAAAAGAAGAAATGTTTAAATGCTAATGAGATATAGAAAATAGCCTCAAAATGGTAAGTCTAAGAGTCATTGACCTAAAAGAGGGAGTGAACAGAGAGATAAGGATAGAAATGTAAAGCAAAAATAGAATTCTAAGCCCCCCGACCATCTGAATGGACCCCTCCTCTGAGCAAGGGCATTATAAAGCTAAGCTGAAAAACTGGCTCAGGCCATGCTGGGAAGTGAGAGGGGGTGGGACACGCCTCATTATACACTCCTCCCTTTTGGAATTACTGATAATTCCAACTAACTCTTTAAGTCTGACAAGAAACATTTACAATCTATCCTCTCTGAAGCCATTACATGAAGGCTTCACCTGTGTGATAAAACCCTGGCCTCCACATCCCCTTTATCTTAACCCAGACATTCCCAAGTCTTTAGACAATAACTTAATTCTTTCAACAATTGTCAATCAGAAAATCTTTGAATCTGTCTATGACCTGGAAGCCCAACTTCCAGTTGCCCCGTGTTTCTAGACAGGACCAATGTATATCTTACAAGAATCTGATTGATGTCTCATGCCTCCCTAAAGTGTTTAAAACTAAGCTGTATCCTGACCACCTTGGGCACATGTTCTCAGGCTATCCTGAGGGCTGTGTCAAAAAAATCTCTTCAAATATTTTGCAGAGTTTGACTCTTTTTGTCGCAGAAGGTTTACTCAGAAAAATAATGACAGAGAAGGTTGCAAATCTAGAGAAAGAAATTTATACCACATAAAAGGTCCAAGATCACCAAGAACATTCAGTTAAAATAAGAACACTCCAAGGCATATAATAATTCAACTCTCAAAGTTAAGGACAAAGAAAGGACAGTAAAAGCAGCGTGAAGAAAAGAAACAAATAACATGTAAAGAAGATCCGGTATATCTGGCAGCAAACGTTTTAGTGGAAAGCTTGTAGGACAGCAGAAAGTAAGATATATTCAGTGGTATTGAGGTCTAGTTTTTTGGGGTTTTTTGTTTTTGTTGAGTCAGTCTCGCTTTGCCTCCAGGCAGGAGTGCCCTGCCACTGTGTAGATTCTGCAAGCTCCGCCTCCTGAGTTCAAGCCATTCTTCTGCCTCAGCCTCCCGAGTAGCTGGGACTACAGGCGCACACTACCATGCCCAGCTAATTTTTGTATTTTTAGTAGAGACAGGGTGTCATCATATTGGCCAGGCTGCTCTCGGACTCCTTATCTCGTGATCTGCCTGCCTCAGCCTCACAACGTGCTAGGATTACAGACGTGAGCCACTGCACCCGGCCGAGTTCTAGTCTTAAGAAATGAAGAGTTATGGAAATGGTTGCACAACACTATGAATAGACTGAATTCCACTGAACTGTACACTTAAAAGTGGTTGAGATGATAAATTTCGTGTTATGTGTATTCAGTCAAACTTTCAAAATGGGGAATAACATCAGTAAGCAAGGTCGATTTTACTGTCACATTAATAAGCAAGACATAGGGATGCTTGCATTATATTTTATTCAGAAAAAGTCCCACCTGCTCCAAGTCTCACTCTTAGCCACCAGCTGCCACATCTCCTCGCGCTGAGCCTCGTCTGGGCAGCCACAAGGCCTCTTCCCCACCTACTCTAGACTCAAACTCAGTCAGATCTTCTCTCAATCCTTCCAACCCTAGTTCTTTATCATGCACAGGAATCAAATAGTTCACTCTCATCTACACCCACGACCCTATTTGGTAGACAAAGACCCTTTTGTTACCAGGACCCACCTCTTAGGGGATAACCAAAGTTGCAAATCAGGTTGTGAGTCACCAGACCTACATTTCAACCAGTGCACACCACAAGACCATGGTGGCTGTTTATGCTGAAATATTCCACACCACTTGTAAATAATCATTGCCCAGAACCAGTTCCTGGGACACTCCAGTCAGACCAGACCTTGCTTGTGGACCCCACTGACCTCAAAGTTCAGCAGCTGTAAGGCTAATGCCTGGTGCATCAGAGACAATCTCCAGTGTTTGTTCTGGTTTGTCAATTCCTGCACCTTACCAGTTGTTAAATATTTTTAATACCGTTTTTACAAATGGCAAATAATTCTATAAATAAGTATTCTGGAACCACCCAGCTGAGCCCTTCTCAGATTCTTGACACACGGAAGCCGTAACAGAATGAAAAGCAGGTACAGTGAGAACAAGTGATCAGAGTGATGGATGATTTATTAGGAAGATGAGAAAAGCGGTCCATCCGCCCAGCACCTTTGGGTCTTTGCAGAAGCAGGAGCATGACTGATGACACCACCTGATGTTGGAAAGGCAGAGGAAAGAGCAAAGGGCTCTTTACCAGCCACGATAGAGCCAGCCTGAGCACACTACTTTCCAAAAAGGCAGAAATAATATCCCCCATCTAAAATGTGTTTCTAGAATCTTGCTGGTCTCTTCTAGGAAGGAATAATTTGATTCTTCTCCACCTGGATCTGAATGAGCTTGTAACTTGCTTGTAACCAAAAGAATATGATAAAAGTAGTGCTGGGTGACTTTCAGGGATGGGTGTCAAGAGGAGATGCAGCCTCGTTGGTGGGACACTCAAAGCAGCCCGCTTCAGGTCTCTATGTTGGAAGGAAGCCCAAACAAGCCCACACGCTCAAACAACAGGTGAAGGGACAGCAATGCCCAGCTAGTTCTCAGCTGTTGCAGCCCCATCCACTAACTGACCACAATCATATGAGACCTTCAAGCTAGAACCGCCCAGCTGAGCCCTACCCAGATTCTTGACCCACAGAAACCAAGAGTGATAAGCAAACAAGCATTCTTTTTTCTTCAATTCAAGAGGTATATATGCTTGGTTTTTACATGGATATTACACGCATAATGGTGAAGACTGGGTTTCTGATGTACCATGACTCAAATATTAAACATTGTATGCAATAGGTAATTTTTCAACCCTCACCACCCCACATCCTCTCCTCTTTCAGTGGCTTAAAACAACATTTTGTTGAGTATAAATATCTCTTAAAGAACTAAAAACAGAACTACTGTCAGATCCAGCAATCCCACTACTGGTTATCTGCCCCCTAAACCCAAAAAAAGTAAGCATTGTGCTGGGCACACTGGCTCATCCCTGTAATTTCAACACTTTGGGAGGTTGAGATGGGTGGATCACTTGAGGTGGAGTTCAAGATCAGCCTGGCCAACACAGTGAAACCCCCTCTCTACTAAAACTAGAAAAATTTGCTAGGCATGGTAGCCAGCATCTGTAATCCAAGCTACTCAGGAGGCTAAGACAGGAGAATTGAACCTAGCAGGCAAAGGTGACAGTAAGGCAAGATCTGGAGCGCTGCTGCACTCCAGACTCAGTGAACAAAAAGAGACTCAGTCTCAGAGGAGACACCTGCACTCATATGTTTATGGCAGCGGTGTTCGCATTAGCCAAGTCACAGCTATTGCAAAGTCCCCAGAGTCTGTTGTCTCCATCTTCATGCCCAGCTCTACCCATTGTTTAGCTCTCACAGTAAGTGAGAACATACAATATTTGATTTTCTGCTTCTGACTTAGTTCACTTAGGATAATGGCCTCCAGCACCATCCCTGTTGCTGGTAAGGCCATGATTTCATTCTTTCTTATGGCTGCATAGTATTCCATGGTGCATGTATACCATATTTTCTTTATCTAGTCAACTGTGGGTGGACACTTAGGTTGGCTCCACGACTTGCCTATTGTGAGTAATGCTCCTGTAGACATATGAGTACAGGTGTCTTTTTGATACAATGTTCTCTTTTCCTTTGGGTAGATACCTGGCAGTGAGATTCCTAGGTCCAACAGTAGTCCTGTTTTTAGTTCTTTGAGAGAGCTCCACACTCAACAAAAATCTTTTTGTAAGCCGCTACATTTTGTGATTTGTTACACAGCAACAGATAACTAACACACAGTCCTTGGGCAATTTCTTTGAATCATTCCTCAATTGTTTCATGTCTCTCCCTTCTGTTTCCCATCTATTCCAGCCCTTGTCTTTCTGCTGAGCTTGTTTGGAGCTGTGATTCAGAAAACCAAAGGTGAGTGCTCAGAGCCAGAACAGAGAAGCTGTGGACCAAGGGCTGGACCTGGGGCCACCCACGTTCACCAATGGGCTAGAGAAAAGTGCCTGTTCTGAGAGTGAGATTTGGGAAGGCTTTCTCCTGTGTTTTATTATTGGTTTGCTTAATTGATCATTATATTAAACATGAATAGCCTTTCATTTATCTTTTTTTCATTTGTAATTTGTCTGTTTTTGCTAACCACAATGGGTACAATGTGGAACTAGAACAGTAACTAAAACGCACGAAGTCTCATGAAGTAGACATCCTAGTTGAGAGACAAAGCAGCGGTAATCTTTGTCATTCTCATCATAAACAGTCAACATCTAATGAACAAGATCGTTTCTGTTTAATGTTACTGCCCCGGACTCTCTCACTAGATTCTGATTCATCAGGTCTAGGGTGGAGCCTAAGAATCTTTTTTTTTTCGTTTCTTATTTTGAGACAGAATCTCACTCTACCACCCAGGCTGGAGTGCATGGCACCCTCTCAGCTCACTGCAAACTCCGCCTCCTGGGCTCAGGCAATCCTCATGCCTCAGCCTCCTGAGTAGCTTGGACCAGATGCCACACTGGGCTAAGTTTTGCACTTTTTGTAGAGATAGGGTTTCACCATAACACCTAGGCTGGTCTCCAACTCCTGGCCTCACACCATGTGCCTAACTCAGCCTGCCAAATTGCTGGGATAACAGGCATGAGTCACCATGCCCGCCCTGGAATGTGTGTTTAGTGGGTACAGTTTCAGTTTTACGAGATGAAAACAGCTATGGAGATGGTTCCACAACATATGAATGTATTGAATTCCATTGAACTGTGCACTTAGTAATAGCTAAGATGGTAAATTTCATGTTATGTGCATGTTACTGTAATCTGAAAAAAAAAAAAAAAAAGAAGACATTCATGAGCAAGGTAGATTTTACTGGCCCGTTCACAGGAAGGATGGAGGGGTGTTTGCATTACAGGGCATGCCACATTTCACTGCAAAAAATTTCCATCTGCTTCAAGTCTCGCTTCATAGCCACCAGCTGCCACATTTCCTCTCTGCTGAGTCTCCCCAGACAACCCGAACTCCCCTTCCCAGAGTTCTGGAGGCCATAAACAGCCTGCCTGAGGTTGCCATGTTGGAAGGAAGCCCAAACTAGCCCACAGCCTGAAACTACATGAAGGGACCACTTGTGCCCACCCTTCTCCAGTGTGACCTCATCTTAACTAGGTTACATCTGTGGAGACCTGCTTCCAAATAAAGTCACATCCTGAGGTTCTGGGTGGACATGAGTTTTAGGAGGACACTATTTAAACCAGTATACTCAGTATGGTAAGGTATTACTTCCTGGAAAATGTCAAGAGTAGACTTTCAGAACTAAGCATAACCTGGGCAGGAAGGGAAGGAAAAAAATGAGTAGCAGAGGGTATCATTTCTCCCTGTCCCCCAAGGAGAATTGTGCATACTTAGTGGGTGACTATTTTGCTCCACTGAGTACAATACCACCTCTTCTATATACAAATGGCCAACAGGCCAGGCATGGTGGTGCACACCTGTAACCCCAGCACCTTGGGAGGCTGAGGCAGGTGGATCACTTGAAGTCAGGAGTTCAAGACCAGCCTGGGCAACATGGTGAAACCCATCTCTACCAAAAAACACAAAAATTATCCAGGTGTGGTGGTGCATACCTGTAACTCCAGCTACTCGGAAGTCTGAGACAGGAGAATCACTTGAACCCGGGAGGTGGAGGCTGCAGTGAGCTGAGATCACACCTCTGCACTCCACCCTGGGCAACACAGCAAGACTCTGTCTTTAAAAAATGGCCAAGAAACATGAAAAAATGCTCGACATCACTAATTATAAGAGATATGCAAATCAAAACCACAATGCAATAGCACCTTACTCCTGCAAGAATGGCCATCATCAAAACATCAAAAAACAATAGATGTTGGCTTGGATGTGGTGAAAAGGGAGCACTTTACCCTGTTGGTGGGAATCAAAACTAGTACAACCACTAGAGAAGACAGTATGGAGATTCCTCAAAGAACTAAAAGTAGGTCTACCATTTGATCCCCAATCCCACTCCTGGGTGTCTACCCAGAGGAAAACAAGCCATTATACAAAAAAGATACTTGCACAAGCATGTTTATAGCAGCACAATTCACAATTGCAAAAACATGGAACCAGCTCAAATGCCCACCAATAAACAAGTAAATAAAGAAAATGCGCCATGTGTGTGTGTGTTTGTGTGTGTGTGTGTATCTTTTCTATGGTATGTGTGTGTGTGTGTGTGTGTGTGTGTGTGTGTGTATATCATGGAATACTACTCAGTCATTAAAAGGAGCAAAACAATGACATTGGCAGCAACCTGGGTGGGATTGGAGACTATTATTCTAAGTGAAGTAACTCGGGAATGGAAAACCAAACATCATATGTTCTCATTCATAGGTGAGAGCTGAGCTATGAGGATGCAAAGGCAGAAGAATGACACAATAGACTTTGGGGGCTCAGGGGAAGGGTGGGAGATGGTGAGGGCAAAAAGACTGCCCATTGGGTACAGTGTACACTGCTCAGGTGATGGGCACACCAAAAGCTCAGAAATCACCACTGAAGAACTTATTCATGTAAACAAGAAATAAAAGGAAAAATGAAAAAAAATACCACCTCTTCTGCCCAGACGCCCCTGCTTAACTATTAAGTTAAAATATGGGAGCAGCCCACAGCTGTTAAAAGACAGGAGCAGAGGAGCAGGAATAGGTGGATAAACCAGAAGCTGAGCCTTGGGGGCTCAGAGTCAGGTCCTAATCCATTTGAGGATGGAATGGGGCACATCAGTGGGATTACAGGCACCTGCCACCACACCCGGCTAATTTTTATATTATTTAGTAGAGACAGGGTTTCACCATGTTGGCCAGGCTGATCTCGAACTCCAGATCTCAAGTGATCCTCCCACCTCAGCTTCCCAAAGTGCTGGGATTACAGGCATGAACCACTGCACCCAGCCCTCTTTTGTGTAAATTCTGCAGTGGTTTTGAGAATAACACAGTTATATTGCACCAGAAATGTCTGCACTAAAATTACTTTGATTTTTGCCAACCCCAGTCCTTGATCATGCACAGGAACTCCACTTTTTCCTGTAATTATGGTTTGGTAGCTCTAATTTTTTTAATGTGCTGAGATCTCACAAGAGGAAAAGACACAGGCTTCCTCAGCCTTGAGAGGACCTGCCCAGAGGCGAGGCCTAATTATTATTTATTTTTGTTATTATTAGTTTTAAACAGAGTCTCCCTCTGTCACCCAGGCTGGAGTGCAATGATGTGATCTGGGCTCACTACAACCTCCTCCTCCTGGGTTCAAGTGATTCTCCTGCCTCAGCCTCCTGAGTACTGGGATTACAGGCATGCGCCACCACACACTGCTAATTTTTGTATTTTTAGTAGAGACAAGGTTTCAGCACGTTAGCCAGGCTAGTCTTAAACTCCTGACCTCAGGTAATACGGAGGGGTGGCCTAATTATAACAGGAGAGCTTGTGGCCCCAGTGCATTTAACCTTTCTGTCTTCTCCCTGCAGCTTCCTGTCCTCAGTGCCCTGAAAATGCTTCCTGTGTCAATAATACTTACTGCACCTGTGACCCAGGATATGCTTCTGGATCTGGACAGAAACTATTCACATTCCCCTTGGAGATATGTAAAGGTAAAGAAGTATTTTTTTTAAGAGACAGGTTCTCACTCTGTTGCCCAGGCTGGACTGCAGTGGCATGATCAAACCTCACTACAGGCTAGGCATGGTGGCTCAGGCCTGTAATCCCAGCACTTGGGGAGGCCAAGGCGGATGGATCACTTGAGGTCAGGAGTTTAAGACCAGCCTGGCCAGCATGGCAAAATCCTGTCTCTACTAAAAGTACAAAAATTAGCTGGGCATGGTAGTGGGCACCTGTAATCTCAGCTACCCTAGGGGCTGAGGCATAAGAATCACTTGAACTTGGGAGGCAGAAGTTGCAGTGAGCCAAGATTGCACCACTGCACTCCAGCCTGGGTGACAGATGGAGACTCTGATCAAAAAAATAAATTAAAATACTCACTGCAGCCTCCAACTCCTGGGTTCAAGCCTTTCAAGTAGCTGTGACTACAGGCATGCCACCACACCCAGCTAAATTTTTTTTTATTTTTTGTAGAGAAGCAATCCTCCTGCCTCAGCCCCACAAAGTGCTGGGATTATAGACATGAACCCTGCACCTGGCCAGTGGTAATTTACAAGTCATCCAGAGGCATGAGCGAAAGGGAGGCAAAATGGGGGCTATTTTGGAAATTTGGTAGTTCATTTAAGATAGTTTCTTGTTTCAGTTGGTTGCGGTGACTGACACCTGTAACCCCAGCAATTTGGGAGGCTGAGGCGGGCAGATAAACTGAGGCCAGGAGTTCGAGACCAGCCTGGCCAACATAGTAAAACCCCGTTTCTACTAAAAATACAAAAATTAGCCAGTGATGGAGGCATGTGCCTGTAATCCCAGCTACATGGGAGGCTGAGACAAGAGAATCACTCTAACTCAGGAGGCAGAGGTTGCAGTGAGCCGAGATAGCTCTACTGCACTCCAGCCTGGGCAACAGAGCGGGACTCCCTCTCAAAAAAAAAGATAGTTTCTTGTATCATTTCACGACACCCCTCCCAGTGTTTCCTGGGATCCCCTCCCCTCCCAAATAAAGTGTGTATACTTATATCCTTGTCTCAATGTCTGCTTCTTGGAGAATCCCGCCAAAGTCAATGAAGAAAGCAAAAAAACAAGATAAGCACGACCTAAAACCTAAAGTGATTCGTCTTGGAAAGCCAGAACAGACCTTGGGGAAAGACACAACTCCTGACACATAGTAGATGCTCAATAGACCTTTGCTGAATGAATGACACGATTCCTTCTCTGTGTTCCAGATATTAATGAATGTCAACCACCCTTTAGTGTATACTGTGGGGTAAATGCCGCATGTCAGAATGTCGAAGGAAGTTTCTACTGTCACTGTGTCCCAGGATATAAACCCCATTCTGGGGTTGCACAGTTCAAGAGTTCCAGCGAGAACACTTGTCAGGGTAAGAACATTTCTAACCTCCTGTCTTCCTTCCTCTTTTTTTTTTTTTTTGAGACAGAGTCTCACTCTATTGCCCAGGTTGGAGTGCAGTGGAATGATCTCAGCTCACTGCAACCTCCGCCTCCTGGGTTCAAGCGATTCTCCTGCCTCAGCCTCCCGAGTAGCTGAGATCACAGGTGTGCGCCACCATACCTGGCTAATTTTTTTGATCCACTGCCTTAGCCTCGACAAGTGCTGGGCTTTCTTACAGGCAAGAGTCCTTCCTCGTTTTTTATTGAATCTAACATCAGAAAAGACGTTCTCGTTATAGGGCCAGGATACTTTATTTTCTGCAGGGAGCTAGAAGAAAACAAAGGAAAGGAGGAAGTTCAACTCGAGGGAAATAATGGGGTGAGAAAGGGAACTGTAGTTTGGAGATGGAGGAAGTGATAAGGTGATGATTGAGACCACATTCTTTGAACTGCAAGGAAGTGAAACTCACTCAGGCTAACAGGCAGAAAAGATGGGTTTATGAAAAGGATGTGTGGCCATGCCCTGCAAGGGCAGGAACACAGCTGGGCTTCTGGAATTATCCTTGGATCTGCTCCTTCCTTCTCTTTCACTGCAGGGTGGCTTTCTCTACTTCCTAGACCCCAGGACAGAAAATATGACCACCGGCTGGAAGAGATGACTCACCCCTGTAACCCCAGCACTTTGTGAGGCTAAGGCAGGCAGATCACTTGAGACCATGAGTTCAAGACCAGCCTGGCCAACATGGCGAAACCCCATTTCTACTAAAAATAGAAAAATTAGCCAGATGTGGTGATGGGCGCCTGTAATCCCAGCTACTAGGGAGGCCAAGACACAAGAATCTCTTGATTCCAGGAAGCGGAGGTTGCAATGAGACGAGATTGTGCCACTGCACCCCAGCCCGAGTGAGCGAAACTCTGTCTCAAAACAAAACAAAAAAAAAAGGAAGTATGCCCACCAATCATTCCAGATGTTACCATTTTTGTTGCCTCAACCAACCAAAGACAGATCAGTTGACTCTCTCAAAGACCCCGTTGCAAATTCTTTGGGAATGAAAATTGAGCCAGTTTGAGCCTCTTGTGCACCCTTGGCTCTGTGTCCAGGGAGAGATGCTGTGTCATATAAACATGATCACTCCCATGGAAAACACTGATGGGAAAAGTCTATATGAGAAAAGAGATGAGAGGTGGCAGATCACCCACGAGATATTGGCTACTGTTGGGATAATAAGAGAGAGACTTTTATTTTCCAGAGACGGGGTCTCACTCTGTCACCCAGGCTAAACTGCAGGGGCACCATCAAAGCTCACTGCAGCCTTGAACTCCTAGGCTCAAATAATCCTCCAACGTCAGCCTCCTGAGTAGCTGAGATTATAGGTGTGAATCACCATACCTGGCAAATTTCTTGTTTTTTTGAAGAGATGAGGGGGGGTCTCACTATTGTTATAAGTAAAATGCTGATGCTACAAAAGAAATTACCCTTGAAAATAAGTCCTCTCAACAAGGCAGTTTACTTCTATAGTAAACTATAGAGGGGAAGGGGTAGTTATGCATGACGGGGGTCGTCCCTACTCCTGTGTCATCCCCTATTGGCTGGGGTTAGACTGCACAAGCTAGACTAATCCCAACTGACTATTTTAAAAAGAGCAGGGGTCCAAGCTGGAGTGGGAGGGTGGGTGTTTTGGCAAGAAGGACGGTTACAGGTGGGTCAGAGCAGGTAGCCAGGGGTGAGCAAGTGACTGGGATGAGTCAGGATGGTGGGGAAGGGGGAATAGATGTGAACTACTGATTAGAACTGGTGGAGAAGGTTGTTTAAACTTTAAAATAGAGAATTAAAGAATAAGAGCTGAACATACTGACATACTGATTCTTTGAAGAGACACTTGGGGTTCACTGTAACACAGTGTTTCCCAGGCTGGTCTCAAACTCCTGGGCTCAAGTGATCCTCCTGCCTTGACCTCCCAAAGTCCTGGAATTACAGGCATAAACCACAGTGCCCAGCCATAAATCTGTCTTTTACTAAGCAATGGGCGCCTCTGTTGACAATGTAGAAGCAGACTGCGATTCTACCTGGATTCTGATTTAATCTCTTAAAATTGCCTTATTTTTACCAAAAAAGGAAGATGCCTTTGGTTGTTTTCCTAATATTAAGAGCTCTTCGCCGTGCTTTTATAAAGATTGAGCCCGTTTGGGGTTTGTTACTACCAGGGCTGGTAGGGCTAAGCAACTCCCACCCCAACCCAAGGGTAAAGTGTGCAGTTTGGTTCAAAAGGGCAGTTTTCTACAGTGAATATGGTTTTCTATAACAAACATTTTCTACTGCTGATGGGGGAGGCAGGTAAAAAAGAAAGAAAGAAATATATTCTAAACTCAGGGTTGTAAGTCAAAATTCTTCAACCCTTAAGATAAAATGTTCAGTATTAAAACAAAGCTGTTTGTGCTTTTAAGCAAACAGACTCAACTGAAAACTGAGATCTAGAATAAGTACAGATTTAATCTCAGCCTGATGATAATAGATATGTACACATTTGCTACCCTTTCCTTGTCCTTCTCCCACCCCCAGAGATGGAGTCTTGCTCTGTCTCCCAGGCTGGAGCGCAGTGGTGTGATTTTGGCTCACTGCAACCACTACGTCCTGGGTTCAAGGATTCTCCTGCCTCAGCCTCCCAAGTAGCTGGGATTACAGGCACCCGCCACCACCACATCTGGCTTTTTGTAATTTTAGTAGAGTCGGGGTTTTGCTATGTTGGCCGGACTGGCCTGGAACTCCCTGGGCTCATGTGGTCCTCCTGCCTCAGTCTCCCAAGCAGCTGGGACTACAGGTGCACCCTTCATCAAATTTCTAAAATAGAGATGTTCTCACTAAGCATAGGAACCAACACAAAAGTCTTCACTAACAGCTGACAGCCAGCCAGAGATGCTTCTGTTTCAGTTATCATTCCCAGCCAGGCCAACTTTAAAAACAGAAGGCTTCTAATTTTCTGTTTTCTCAGCCATTTCAGTTGTAATTTCTAGCCAAGATGGAATAAAAGAATTTGGAGACCAGGTGAGGTGGCTCATGCCTACAATCCTAGCACTTTGGGAGGCCAAGGCGGGAGGATTGCCTGAGGTCAGGAGTTTGAGACCAGCCTGGGCAACATGGCAAAACCTGATCTCTACAAAAAATACAAAACAAAACAAAACAAATTATCCAGGTGTGGTGGTACAAGCCTGTAGTCCCAGCTACAGGTACTTAGAAGGCTGAGGTGGGAGGATTGCTTGAGCCCAGGAGGTTGAGGTTGCAGTGAGCCAAGATTGTGCCACTGCACTCCAGCCTGGGCAACAGAGTGAAACCCTGTCTCAAAAAAAATTTTTAAGTCAGGCTTAATGGCTCATGCCTGTAATCACCGCCCTTTGGGAGGCCAAGGTGGGCAGATCATGAGGTAGAGTTTGAGACCAGCCTGGCCTACATAGTGAAACACCATCTCTACTAAAAATACACATGCACATGTATGTTCATTGTGGCACTGTTTACAATAGCAAGGACCTGGAACCAACCCAAATGCCCATCAATGATAGACTGGACAAAGAAAATGTGACACATCTACATCATGGAATACTATGCAGCCATAAAAAACAACAAGTTCTTGTCCTTTGTAGGGACATGGATGAATCTGGAAACCATCATTCTCAGCAAACTGACACAAGAACAGAAAACCAAACACCGCATGTTCTCACTCATAGGCAGGTGTTGAACAATGAGAACACATGGGCATAGGGGGGGAATATCACACACTGGGGTAGGTTGGGGGTAGGGCTGGGGTGGGATATTGGGGGACGGGGAGGCTGGGGAGGGAAAACACTGGGAGAAATGCCTAATATAGGCGATGGGGGGATGGAGACTGCAAACCACCATGGCATGTGTATACCTATGCAACAACCCTGCAGATGTGCACATGAACCCAGAGCTTAAAGGACAATTTTTAAAAATACAAAAATGAGCCAGGCCTGTAGCACATGCCTGTAATTCCAGCTACTTGGACGCTGAGGCAGGAGAATCACTTCAGCCCAGGAGGTGGAGGTCACAGTGAGCCGAGATCAAACCATTGCACTCCAGCCTGGGCAACAAAATGGGACCCTGAAAAAAAAATTTTAATAAAAACAATTTAAAATTTTAAATAAATAAAAACTATGAGTTCAGACTTTCACCTTTCTAGGTTCAAAGTTGCCCACCCCATTACCTATCCCACCTGCCCACCCCTCTACCTATCCCACCTGCCCACCCCTCTACCTATCCCACCTGCCCACCCCTCTACCTATCCCACCTGCCCACCCCTCTACCTATCCCACCTGCCCACCCCTCTACCTATCCCACCTGCCCACCCCTCTACCTATCCCACCTGCCCACCCCTCTACCTATCCCACCTGCCCACCCCTCTACCTATCCCACCTGCCCACCCCTCTACCTATCCCACCTGCCCACCCCTCTACCTATCCCACCTGCCCACCCCTCTACCTATCCCACCTGCCCACCCCTCTACCTATCCCACCTGCCCACCCCTCTACCTATCCCACCTGCCCACCCCTCTCCCTGGACACTCTCAGTTCCAATAGTAACTCCCTCATGACGTCTTTTGCAGATGCCACCTCCTCAGAGACAACCCAAGGTGGGAAAGAGGTGAGTGGAGGCTGATCCCTGGACCCTAACCAAGTGACAAACATCAGGTAACAAATATTCACAAAGCCCAAAGTGAACAAATGGGGATGGATTTAGGGTAAGACGTATATGTTGTATATAAATACTTAAAATATTATTACCATATAATATCATATTGCTACATAATAGTACATGTTTACACATTGTTTACATATAATATACAATTATATACTATATATAACTGTGCTATATATACATCTATCTATCTATATATATAGCTAGATAGCCAGATAGATAGATAGATATAGCCATTAGGTATACTACTATATGTGTATCATTATAGAGCTGACTACAGATATATCACTATATATACAGGTGAACCACACACATTTGAACTGCAGGTATCCACTTACACAAAGACATTTTTCAATTAAATGTGAATCAAAAATAGTATTGCCAGCCAGGCGTGGTGGCTCAAGCCTATAATCTCAGCACTTTGGGAGGCCAAGGCAGGCAGATCACTTGAGGTCGAAGTTCGAGACCAACCTGTCCAACATGGTGAAACCCCATCTCTACTAAAAATACAAAAATGAGCCAGGTATGGTGGCACATGCCTGTAATCCCAGCTACCCAGGAGGCTGAGGTAGGAGAATCACTTCTATCCAGGAGGGTGGAGGTTGCAATGAGCAGAGATGGTGCCACTGCACTCCAGCCTGGGCAACAGAGCGAGACTCTGTCTGAGAAAAAAATAATAATAAATACAATATTGGCAGCATGCAAAACCCACAGAGAGGAAGGACTGACTTTTCATGAGCGAGTTCCAAAGGACCCACCGTGGGACTTGAGCATGCATGGATGGATTTAAGCATATAGGGACGGTCCTGGAACCAATGCCATGCATATACCAAGAGAGGACTGCATCTATATATCTATTTATGGACATCAGTGTAGATAGACACACACACTGTGCATGTGGGTACATACACATGAGAGAGAGAGAGAGAGAGAGAGAGAGAAAGAGAGAGAGAGAGAGAGAGAGAGTGTGTGTGTGTGTGTTTCCCTCTAAAGAAAGGAATCCATCCCAGCCCGAGAAAGACAGGCTAACAGAGAGTGTGCTAAATTCTGCTGAACAGCTACACAAAAGAGACCCAGGTGTTCAATGGTAATCATCATTGTCTCTGGCCAACTGACAGCATTTATATAAATATGTAATCACATCACGTAATCAATCCCTAGACTGTAAGCTTCTTGAGAAAAGGAAGAAAACCAACCCCAAATGAGGAGTTCAAGGAATGGTCATTGAACAAATAAAGAATCATGTAATCCGGCCGGGCGCGGTGGCGTACGTCTGTAATCCCAGCACTTCAGGAGGCCAAGGCGGGTGGATCAACTGAGGTCAGGAGTTTGAGACTAGCCTGGCCAACATGATGAAACCCCCATGTCTACTAAAAATACAAAAATTAGCCAGTCATGGGGGGTGCATGCCTGTAATCCCAGCCACTCAGGAAGCTGAAGATCAAGCTTTTTTTTGCACTTGTTGCCCAGGCTGAAGTGCAATGGTGCAATCTCACTGCAACCTCCGCCTCCCAGGTTCGAGTGATTCTCCTCTCTCAGCCTCCTGAGCACCTTAATTACAGGCATGCACCACCACACCTGGCTAATTTTGTGTCTTTAGTAGAGATGGGGTTTCACCATGTTGGACAGGCTGGTCTTGAACTCTTGACCTCAGGTCATCCACCCCCCACTCGGCCTCCCAAAGTGCTAGGATTACAGGCATGAGCCACTGCGCCCAGCCCTCTCTTCTCTTTCTTTTGCCTGTTCAACCTCCACTCCTAAACTCACTCCTCATGTGTGTCCATGTCCTTAATCTTCTTGGCACAAGATGACAAACTCTGGGTATTTACCCCAGACAGTGACACCGCTTCAATAGCGGCAACCATGCCCTTGTTGTGGCAGTGACAACCAAAATGTCTCCAGCCATTGCCACATGTGCCCAGTGGAGGGAGTGGCAGAATCGACCCCCAGTTGAGAACCACTTTTGCTAATAAACTTTGCTAATAAAAAGTCCAATTGCTAATAAACTTATCACTACCTTGTTGGCAAAAAAAAAAAAAGAAATGTTAATAATAACTAACCCAGCCGGGCACGGTGGCTCACTCCTATATGCCCATCACTTTGGAAGACCAAGGCAGGAGGATCGCTTGAGCCCAGGAGTTCTAGACCAGCCTGGGCAACATAGCAAGACTCTATCTATACAAAAAATAAAAAATAAAAAAATTAGCCAAGCATGGCGGCACGCACCTGTAGCCCCAGCTGCTAAGCAGGCTGAAGCATGAGAATAGCTTGAACCCAGGGGCTGGAGGCTGCAGTGAGCAGAGATCCCACCACTGCGCTCCAGCCTGGGCAACAGAGCAAGACTCTGTCTCAAAAATAGTAATCATGACTCGCCCTTACATAGCTTTTGCCAGGCACAGACACTGTCCTGAAGGCAGAGCATGTGTTAACTCTAATGGTCCAGAAAACCCCAGGCGTTCCTTTTCCTGTCCTGGGACACAGAGTGATTGAGCGACTTGCCCAAGGTCACACAGCTAGGACATAGTGGAGTGCCAGGATTTGAACATGATTCCTCCAGCTCCAGAACCTGCTTTCTCGTGCTTTCTACTGCTCTTGTGGATATGGGGAGTTAACAGATTACATTTTTAAAAACGAAAATTCTTTATGTCTTCAAAGCTGCAAAGAATCGTGGACGATTTTGAGTCGCTTCTCACCAATCAGACTCTATTGAGAACAGGAGAGAGACAAGAAATCTCATCCAGAGCTACCTCTATTCTTCAGGATGTGGAATCGAGCGTTCTAGAAACTGCCTTGAAAATGCCAGAACAAAAAATCCAGAAAATCCAGAACAGTACCATGGGTAAGACAATGATGACTAGTTAGCAGCTGGGGGGACTGCTTAGCAGCCGGGGTCTGGGTTAGGCAATTAGAAAAAAATAATTGAATATACCACTTGAGTCTATTTATATAAATTACATAAATTTGCATAAATACTAGAAGACACAGACTTATCTGGAGTGACCGGAAGGGGCTGGAGGGAGGGATGGCAGAGGCATGAGAAAACCTGGGGAAATTACTGAGGTGATGGAAATCTTCCCTGCCTTGACTGTGGTGTCGGTTTTATTGTATACACCCAATAGAACTCACCCAATTGTATACTTTAATATGTGCGGTTTGTTAGACATCAATTATACCTCAATACAGTTGCCTATTCAGAAGATTGCCAATGGCTTCCAATCCCAGGTCTGGAATTTTCCCTTAAATGTAGTTTGAGGACCAGGCATGATGGCTCATGCCTGTAATCCCAGTACTTTGGGAGGCTGAAGTGGGAGGATTACTTGAGCCCAGGAGCTCAAGAACAGCCTAGGCAACATAGCAAGACCCCTGTCGCTAAGAAAATAGTATTTTTTTAATTTGCCAGGTGCAGTGGTTCGTACCTGCAGTCTTAGCTACTTGGGAGACTGAGGGAGAGGATGGCTTGAGCCCAGGAGTTTGAGGATGCAGTGAACTATGATCCTGCCATTGCCACTCCAACCTGGATATCAGAACAAGACCCTGTCTCAAAAAAATAAAAAAAATAAAAACAGGTTTTGGGCTGAGCATGGTGACTCCCACCACTCACACCTATAATCTCAGCACTTTGGGAGGCCAAGGTGGGTGGCTCACTTGAGGCCAGTAGTTTGGGTAACATGGTGAAACCTCATCTTTACTGAAAATAACAAAATTAGGTCGGGTGCAGTGACCCAAAGCCTGTAATCCCAGCACTTTGGGAGGCTGAGGTGGGCGAATCACGAGGTCAAGAGATCGAGACCATTCTGGCCAACATAGTGAAATCCCATCTCTACTAAAAGTACAAAAAAAAAAAAATTAGCTGGGCATGGTGGCGTGTGCCTGTAGCCCCAGCTACCCGGGAGACTAATGCAGAAGAATTGCTTGAACCCGGGAGGCGGAGGTTGCAGTGAGCCGAGATCGCGCCACTGCACTCCAGCCTGGCACCTGGAGACAGAGTGAGACTTTGTTTCAAAAAAAAAAAAAAAAAAAGGCATGGTGGTGCACAACTGTAATCCCTACTCCAACTCCTGACCTCAAGCAATTTATCGGCCTCAGCTCCACAAAGTGCCGGAATTACTGGCATTAGCCACTGTGCCCGGTCATAAAATAGTGTCATTCTTGAAGTGCTATTATGTTGCTTGATTCTTTTTGTTTTTAACCTTTTAATATACACAAAAGGAGTTAGGGGAATAAAACCCCAGATTCACCTAAAAGCAGGCCAACATTCAAATACAGGAAAAACAATTCCAACTCACAGCCAGTCTTGGGCCGTCTGCTTTTAAGATACACGTTTTCATGAGCTTAACTTTTTTGTAGCTTTATTGAGGTATAATTGACAATAAAATTGTATATATTTAAGGTGTACAGTATGACTTGACATACATATATAGTGTGGCATGACCACCACAATCAAATGATCTAACACATCCATCACTCGCCTGGTTACCTTTTTCCTCATGAGTTTTTCTTGATTGCAATTCATTTGTGACTTTATTTTTATTTGAAGCCTGGTTCCCCACTATAGGAATATGTCATCACTTGTTTGTTTATTTATTTTTGAGACAGAGTCTCGCTCTGTCACCCAGTCTGGAGTGCGGTGGTTCGATCTCAGCTCACAACCTCCATCTCCCCGGTCCAAACTATTCTCTTGCCTCAGCCTCCCAAGTAGATGAGATTACAGGTGCACACCACCACGCCCAGCTAATTTTTGTGTTTTTAGTAGAGTTGGGGTTTCACCATGTTGGCCAGGCTGGTCTTGAACTTCTGGCCTCAAGCAATCCACCCACCATGGCCTCCCAAAGTGCTGGGATTACAAGCCACTGTGCCCAGCCTACATCATCACTTATTTAATCAGTTGCTCCTTGTTGGACATCTAGATAATCTCCCGTTTTCCACCATTATCATCTAAGCTGCTGTGAACTTTCTTGTAGTTAAATCTGCCCTCTGTCCAAGATCATTTTCTGAGAATTAACTCCTAGAATCAGAACTGTTGCTTCAAAGGTGGTATGGGAGGGGCTGCTGGTAAAGAACCGGGGTTCAGAAGTCAGAGTCTTACCTAACTTCTCCACTTCAGTTTCTTCATCTATAGAATGGTTCCGCTGGGCACAGTGGCTCACACCTATAATCCCAACACTCTGGGAGGCCGAGGAGGGCAGATCATGAGGTCAGGAGTTTGAGACCAGCGTGGTCAACACAGTGAAACCCCGTCTCTATTAAAAATACAAAAGTTAGCTGGGTATGGTGTCAGGCACCTGTAGTCCCAGCTACTTGGGAGGCTGAGGCAGGAGAACTGCTTGAACCCAGGAGGCGGAGGTTGTGGTGAGCGGAGGTCATGCCATTGCACATCACCCTAGGCAGCAGAAGGAGACTCTGTATCAAAAAAAAAAAAAAAAAAGAATGGTCCCTCATGAGGTTACAGGTTATTTTTTTTTTTTTTTTGAGAGAAGGAAAGAAAAAGAAAAAAATGAGTAAAGGAGAGGAAGAAAGAGGAAGAGAAAGAGGGAGGGTGAATGGAAATATTGCTTTATTCTGAAAAAAAATGGGTATTAATAATGGCCAATCAATGTTTCATTTAAACCTATGAGTAGGTGTGATGTGGTATTGACAAGAATGTATATTTTGTGTATTTGAAGTGGAGAGCTCTATAAATATTTATTAAGTTTACTTGTTCCGGATCTGAGTTCGAGTCCTTGATATCCTTATTAATTTTCTGTCTCATTGTGTCTAAGTCTCTATGTATCTGGGTGTTAGGATTGTTAGCTCTTGTTGTTGCATTGATCCTTTTACCACTATCTCTTTGTTGCTTTAAAATCTATTTTATCCGATACGAGAATTGCAACTCCTGCTTTTTATTTATTTATTTATTTTTGCTCTCCATTTGGTTGGTAAATCTTTCTCCATCCCTTTGTTTTGAGTCTTTGTGTATCCTTGCATGTGAAACAGGTCTGGATATAACATGCCGTTGGGTTTTGGCTGTGTCTTTTGATTGAGGAATTTAGTCGATTTAAATTTAGGGTTACTGCCATTTGATGTTAACTGGCTGTTTTATCCATTCATTGATGTAAATTCTTCTTTATGTTGGTGCTCTTTACTTTTTGGTATATTTTTAGAAAAGCTAATACTGGTTGTTTCTTTCTATGTGTAATGCTTCTTTCAGAAGCTCTTGTAAAGCAGGCCTGGTGGTAATAAAATCTCTGAGTACTTGCTTGTTCATAAAAGATTTTATTTTTCCTTCAGTTGTGAAGCTTAGTTTGGCTGGATATGAAATTCTGGGCTGAAAGTTCTGTTCTTTAAGGATGTTGAATATTGGCCCCCACTCTCTTCTGGCTTGTAGAGTTTCTGCTGAGAGATCTGCTGTAAGTCTGATAGGCTTCCCTTTATGGGTAACCTGACCTTTCTCTCTGGCTGCCCTTGGTATTTTCTCCTTCGTTTCAACCCTGGTGAATCTAACGATTATGTGCCTTGGGGTTGTTCTTCTTGAGGAATATCTTTGTGGTGTTCTCTGTATTACCTGGGGTTGAATATTGACCTGCTTTGCTAGTTTAGGAACATTTTCCTGAGTAATATCCTGAAGGGTATTTTCCAGCTTGGATTCATTCTCTCTGTCGCATTCAGGTACACCTATCAGACATAAATTTGGTCTTTTCACATAGTCCCACATTTCCTGGAGACTTTGCTCATTCCTTTTTATGCTTTTATCTCTAATCTTGTCTTCTTGTTTTATTTCATTAAGTTGGACTTTTACCTCTGATATCCTTTCTTCTACTTGAACAATTCGAGTGTTTAAACCTGTGCATACTTCTCGGAGTTCCTGTATTGTATTCTTCAGTTCCATTAATTCACTTATATTCCTCTCTAAGTTGTCTATTCTCAATAGGATTTCATCAAACCTTTTTTCAAAGTTCTTAGTTTCTTTACATTGGGATACAACGTGTTCTTTTAACTCACAGAAGTTTCTTATTATCCATTCCCTGAAGAGTGACTCTGTCATTGGGATGCGCTCGTTCTCCGTCAAGCCTTGTTCCATTGTTGATGTGGAACTGTGATCATCTTTAGAGGGAGAGGCGTTCTGATTTTGAGTATTCTCAGCCTTTTTACACTGGTTTCTTCCCATCATTGTAAATTTATCCTCCTGTTGTCTTTGAAATTACCAACTTTCAGATTAGGTCTCTTGAGTGGACGTCCAAGTTGTTAGTTCCCAGGGCCAGAACAGCGGTGTTAAGACTGATGGTGCTTTTCTGCCCAGGATTCTCCTGTCTGGCTTCCTTCCTGTGTCCGTAATAGGCAACTCTGCCTTCCTGGGGCTCCGAACCTCTGTCAGAAGGGGAGCCAGCCCTGTTTACTCTGCTCAGAGAGCTGCCCCGCCGAGGTGCCGGCGAAACCGCTGCGCCGGCCACAAGAATCGCGCTGGCGACCCGTCTGACTCCTCCACTGGGGATCTTCTGCTCCGTGAGCGACCAGAATTTGTCTGAAAGTGTGGTGTCCTCTAGTTCTCTGCGCTTTCACTGAGAGCTGAAATCCCGAGATGTTAGTGATCAGCCATCTTGGATCGTTCCCCTTGAGGTTACAGGTTATTATAAGACAACATGAGCTCTTAGCTCAGTGCCTGACACATTCTAGACATTCAGTATGTGTGAGCCCTTTCTGTTGCTATGAAAAAAAAATTTTTTTGAGACAGAGTTTCTGGAGTGCAGTGGTGTGATCTCAGCTTACTGCAACCTCTACCTCCCGGGTTCAAGCGATTCTCCTGCCTCAGCCTCCCAAGTAGCTGGGTTTACAGGCAGGTGCCACCACTCCCAGCTAATTTTGTATTTTTAGTAGAGACAGGGTTCCTCCATGTTGGTCAGGCTGATCTTCAACTCCTGACCTCAGGTGATCCACCCACCTTGGCCTCCCAAAGTGCTGGAATTACAGGCGCGAGCCACTGCCCCCTGCAACATTTTTTTTTTACAGGCAGCATCTCATTGAGTTGCCCAGGCTTGAATTCCTGGGCTCAAGCAATCCTTGTGCCTCAGCCTCTTGAGTAGCTGGGACTACAGCATGCACTGCCGTGTCCTGTTCTGATGCACATGTTTTAAGCTTCTTACAATATCGCTAAGCTGGCCCATTGCTTTTCTTGCCAGCTGTTGAAACTCGAGTGATTACAGACAATTGCTCTGAAGAAAGACAGACATTCAACTTGAACGTCCAAATGAACTCCATGGACATCCATTGCCGTGACGTCATCCAGGGAGACACACAAGGTACAAGTGAGGGCTGCACTGAGAATCCGTCACACAGAGCCATGTCCTTGTGTGAGTCCCTGGTCACATAATGTATGGTTCTATATGGGGAAGTAGCCCAGTGGACTCCTCCCCTAATGGGCGTGTTACCCTCAAACTGCGATATTGGAGACTCTCCCTTTAAAAAAAAAAAAAAAAAAAAAGAGCATTTTCCCCAAACGGGGGCTTTCTATTATTCAGTATGGAAGGGACTTCTTTGCAATTTGGGAGGGCAGGGGAGTGCTGTGCTGCCTGTGTCCCAGTTTGGGTTCACCCAGAAGCAAACCCTGAGTGAGGAGTTTCTTTGGGAGGCAATCCCCAGGAACAGCAATGGCGTATTCATCAGGGTTCTCCAGAGAATCACAATAAAGAGTTAAAGTGTAGGGTGTAGGAGGTGTGTGTGTGTGGTGAGAGAGAGAGAGAGCAAGACATGTGAGAGATGGAGAGAAAGAGGTGTGGAGAGGCAGATGGAAAGAGAGGGATGGGAGAGAGAGATGGAAAGAGAGGGATAGAGAAAGAGATGGAAAGAGAGATGGGGAGAGAGACAAGAGAGAAATGCAATTAGACGAATAGGGAGAGAGAGATGGAATCAGAGATGGAAAGAGATGGAGAGAGAGATATGGAAAGGGAGATATAGAAAGAGAGAGTTGGAATCATAGAGAAGGGAGAGAGAGAAGGGAAGAGAGATGGAAAGAGAGATTGGGAGAAAAATGGAATTAGAGAGATGAGGAGAGAGAGTTGGGAAGAAAGAGATGAGGGTCTTTGTCTCAAAAAAAATAGAAGCAAAGGCAACACAGAGAGGGAAAGTAACTTGCTCAAGATGACATCACTAGAAATGGGGAGCTAAGATTTGAACCTGGGCAGTCTGGGAGGAGACCACTAGTGGAGGCAGCCGTGGTGGGGCTGGAAAGGCTGGGAAAACACCAGGGACTGGGCCACATCTGCCCTGCCCACTGCTGTAAGGCCAGCGCCCAGGGAGTGCTTAGCACATAGTAGGTGTTCTGAGCATGTTCCTGACACATGAAGGAAGGGGAGAGGAAGGCGAGGAGGGGAGGGGAAGGGAATATAATGGACTGTTACTTAGTCAGAAAAAGGAATGAGGCACTGAGCCGTGCTACAGCGTGGATGTGGAACTTTGAAGACGTGATGTGAGTGAAGGACGACAGACGTAGAAGGTCACATAGTGTATGGTTCTATTTGTGTGAAATGTCTCGAACAGGTAAATTCACAGAGACAGAAAGCAGGTTGGTGGTTTCCAGGGGCTGAGTGAGGATTGCTTATGGGAGTGGGTACTCTTGGAGGTTATGAGAATGTTTTGGAATGACATAAAGGTGATTAAAAAAAAAAAAACATTGTGAATACTCAATGCCACTGAATACAATTCACCTTTTTTTGAGACAGGGTCTTGCTCTGTCACCCAGGCTAGAGTACAGTGGCACAGTCCTGGCTCACTGCAGCCTCAGTCTCCTCAACTCAAGTGATCCTCCAGTCTCAGCTTCCTAAGTCACTGGAATTACAGTCTCCCGAGTCACTGGTGGTGCAACTGTGCCTGGCTTTCGGGAAGCTTTTAAAGATTCCATTTTCAGCTGGGCATGTTAGCTCACGCCTATAATCCCAGAACTTTGGGAGGCGGAGGTGGGCAGACCACCTGCAGTCAGGAATTCGAGACCAGCCTGGCCAACATGGTGAAACTCGTCTCTACTAAAAATATAAAAATTAGCTGGGTGTGGTGTGCACCTGTAGTCCCAGCTACTCAGGAGGCTGAGGCAGGAGAATTGCTTGAACCCAGGAGGTGGAGGTTGCAGTGACCTGAGACTGCGCCACCGCACTCCAACCAGGGCTACAAGAGCGAGACTGTCTGAAAAAAAAAAAAAAAAAAAAAAAAAAAAGATTCCATTTTCTGTTTCCTCAGGTCCCAGTGCCGTTGCCTTTATCTCATATTCTTCTCTTGGAAATATCATAAATGCAACTTTTTTTGAAGAGATGGATGAGAAAGATCGACTATATCTGAACTCTCAGGTAGTGAGTGCTGCTATTGGACCCAAAAGGAACGTGTCCCTCTCCACGCCTGTGATGCTGACTTTCCAGCACGTGAAGGTGGGTTACAGGTGTGATTTGAGCTTCTCAGGTCTCAAGGAGCAGCCCGGATGATGCCTGCATCATCCCCTTCTCAGGTCTCAAGGGGGCAGCCCGGACGATGCCTGCATCATCCCCTTCTCAGGTCTCAAGGGGGCAGCCCGGACGATGCATGCATCATCCCCTTCTCAGGTCTCAAGGGGGCAGCCCGGAGGATGCTTGCATCATCCCCTTCTCAGGTCTCAAGGAGCAGCCTGGACAATGCGTGCATCATCCCCTTCTCAGGTCTCAAGGGCGCTGCCTGGACGATGTGTGCATCATCCCCTTCTCAGCTCTCAAGGGGGCTGCCTGGACGATGTGTGTATCATCCCAGCTGCAGTTCTAGACCTTGCTGTCCAGGGTGGAAGTCGTGATCACCTGTGGCTATTGAGCATTTGAAATGTGGCTAGTCTAAATCGAGATTTTGAAGCTGGTATTTCCAGAGTTACGTCTTGTAAATCAGCTCTTGAAGACTTAAGAAAAAGAAAACAATTAGCTCGATTTAAGCCAGGCTGGCTGGCATCCTCCTATAAGTTGCAGCTACTTGGGAGGCTGAGGCAGGAAGATCACTTGATCCCAGGAGTTGGAGGCTGCAGTGAGCTATGACTGCACCACTGCACTCCAGCCTGGGGTAAAGAGCAAGACACTACCAGAAGAAGAAGAAAAATGAGAAGGAGAAGAAGAAAAAAACATAGAGAAAGGAAGGGAGGAAGGGAGGAAGGAAGGAAGGGAGGAAGGAAGGAAGGAAGGGGCGAGAGGAGAGGGAGGGAAGGGAAGGAGGGACTGAGAATTTCCCCAGACCAATGTCAAACACCAAATCACAGACCCGCAGATCCAGGAAGTTCAGAGAACCAATAAGAATAAATGAAAAAAAAAAAAGAATTAGCTAGATTTAATCATTCTACATTGTAGGCAAATACAGGTATTGTAACATCACATTGCATCCCATAAAGACACACTATTATAATTTATCAGTTTAACATAAATTTTTTTTATTTTACTTTAGGTTCTGGGGTACATGTGCAGGTCATGCAGGGTTGTTGCACAGCTGCATACATAACCAGGTGGTTTGCTGCCTCTATTACCCCTTCATCTATATCCAGCATTTCTCCCCACTTTATCCCTCCCCTAGACCCCCAAGTGCCCCCATTGTGTGATGCTCCTCTCCCTGAGTTCACATGTTCTCATTGTTCAACACCTGCCTATGAGTGAGAACATGCAGTATTTGGTTTTCTGTTCTTGTGTCAGTTTGCTGAGAATGATGGTTTCCAGATTCATTCAAGGCCCTACAAAGGACACAAACTCGTCATTTTTTATGACTGCATAGTATTTCATGGTGTATACGTGCCACATTTTCTTTGTCCAGTCTATCATCTATGGGCATTTGGGTTGGTTCCAGGTCTTTGCTATTGTATATAGGGCAGCAGTGAATGAACATACGTTTGCATGTGTCTTTATAATAGAATGATTTATAGTCCTTTGGGTATATACCCAGTAATGGGATTGCTGGGTCAAATGGAATTTCTATTTCTAGATCCTTGAGAAATTGCCACACTGCCTTCCACAATGGTTGAACTAATTTACACTCCCACCAACTGTGTAGGACTGTTCCTTTTTCTCCACATTCTCTCCAGCATCTGTCGTCTCCAGATTTTTTAATGATTGCCATTCTAACTGGCATGAGATGGTATCTCAATGTAGTTTTGATTTGCATTTCTCTAATGACCAGTGATGATGAGCATTTTTTCATATGTTTGTCGGCCTCCTGTATGTTTTCTTTTGAAAAGTGTCTGTTCGTATCCTTTGCCCACTTTTGAATGGGTTTGTTTGTTTTTTCTTGTAAATCTGTTTTAGTTCTTTGTAGATTCTGGATATCAGCCCTTTGTCAGGTGCGTAGGTTGCTAAAGTTTTTTCCCATTCTGTTGGTTGCTGATTCACTCTAATCATTGTTTCTTTTGCTGTTCAGAAGCTGTGGAGTTTAATTAGATCCCATTTGTCTATTTTGGCTTTTGTTGCCAATGCTTTTGGTGTTGTAGTCATGAAGTCCTTGCCTATGTCTAAGTCCTGGGTGGTTTTGCCTACATTTTCTTCTAGAGTTTTTATGGTGTTAGGTTTTATGTTTACATCTTTTATGTTTAAATCTGGAGTTAATTTTAGTATAAGGTGACAGGAAGGGGTCCAGTTTCTGCTTTCTGCACATTGCTAGCCAGTTTTCCCAACACCATTTATTAAATGGGGAATCCTTTCCCCATTGCTTGTTTTTGTCAGGTTTGTGAAAGATCAGATGGTTGTAGATGTGTGGCATTGCCTCCGAGGTCTCTGTTCTGTTCCATTGGTCTATACCTCTGTTTCGGTACCAGCACCATGTTGTTTTGATTACGGTAGCCTTGTAGTATAGTTTGAAGTCCTGCAGTGTGATGCCTCCGGCTTTGTTCTTTTTGCTTTAGGATTGTCTTGGCTATGCGGGCTCTCTTGTGGTTCCATATGAAGCTTTAAGTGGTTTTTTCCAGTTCTGTGAAGAAGATCATTGGTAGCTTGATGAGGATAGTGTTGAATCTATACATTACTTTGGGCAGTATGGCCGTTTTCATGATATTGATTCTTCCTAACCGTTAGCATGGAATGTTTTTCCATCTGTTTGTGTCCTCTCTTATTTCCTTGGGCAGTGGTTTGTAGTTCTCCTTGAAGAGGTCCTTTACATCCTTCATTAGTTGTATTCCTAGGTATTTTATTCTCTTTGTAGCAGTTGTGAATGGGAGTTTGCTCTTGATTTGGCTGGCTATCTGTTATTGGTGTATAGGAATCCCTGTGATTTCTGCACATTGATTTTGTATCCTGAGACTTTGCTGAAGCTGCTTATCAGTTTGAGCTTTTCAGGCTGAGACGACGGGGTCTTCTACATATACAATCATGTCGTCTGCAAGTAGAGACAGTTTGACTTCCTCCTTTCCTAATTGAATACCGTTTATTTCTTTTTCTTGAATTTGAAATTGGAGTATATTCAATATATCCACAATATTGAATAGGAGTGGTGAGAGAGGGCATCCTTGTCTAGTGCCTGATTTCAAAGGGAATGCTTCCAGCTTTTGCCTGTTCAGTATGATATTGGCTGTAGGTTTGTCATAAATAGCTTTTATTATTTTATGACACATTCTGTTGATACCTAGTTTGTTGAGTTTTTATTATGAAGGGCTGTTGAATTTTGTCGAAGGACTTCTCTTCATCTATTGAGATAATCATGTGGTTTTTGTCTTTAATTCTGTTTATGTGATGTATTACATTTATAGACTTGCATATGTTGAACCAGCCCTGCATCCCCAGGATGAAGCCTAACATAAATTTTTAAAAAGAAGTAAATCTAAACAAAAAAGAAGAAAGTAAAATATTTCCTTAATAATATCTATGTTGATTATATTTACTAATTTATACTGATATATTTAAAAGATACTATGTTGACTATAGTGGATTACATTAAAGTTAATTTCACCTATGTCCTTACCTTTTTTGAGAAAGGCTCTCATTCTGTTGCCCAGGCTGGAGTGCAGGTGCACAATCATAGCTCACTACAGCCTCAAACTACTGGGTTCAAGTGATCCTCCCACCTCAGCCTCCCCAGCAGCTGGAATTACAGGTGTGAGCCACCATGCTCAACTAATTTTTCTGTTTTTGGTAGAGAGGAGGACTCACAATGTCACCCAGGCCGGTCTCATACTCCTGGCCTCAAGCGATCCTCCTGCCTCAGCTTCCCAAAACTCAGAAATTACAGGTGTGAACCACTTCCTCCGGCCTCTTTTCTTTCTTTCTTTTCTTTTTTTTTTTTGTTTTTGTTTTTGTTTTTGTTTTTGAGATGGAGTCTCTGTCGCCCAGACTGGAGCTCAGTGGTGTGATCTTGGCTCACTGCGACCTCCAACTCTTGGGTCCAAGGGATTCTCCTGCCATAGCCTCCTGTGTAGCTGGGATTACAAACAAGCACCACCACACCTGGCTAATTTTTGTATTTTTAGTAGAGACAGGGTTTGGCCATGTTGGACAGACTGGTCTCCAACTTCTGACTTTAGGTGATCCACCCACCTCAGCCTCCAAAATTGCTGGGATTACAGGCGTGAGCCACTGCACCCAGCCTCAAAGCCTAATTTTATTCATTCTCCCTGTGACCTTTCTTTCCTATACTATGCATCTCATCCTATTGAAATTATTGTGTTGTAAGGGAGTCAGGGACAGAATCGATTGTCCAAGGAACAGGGACATTTAGCTTAGAGAGACTCTGGAGGAAAATATTATGCGAACTTCCAACTCCACCGATTTTTTGGTTATTTGTTTGTTTGTTTTTCTCCCATGATGGGTCAAGTTTCCAAAGCCAATGAAACCTTGTGCAACTGGTTTCCAGGGAGCCTTCGCTTTATGTTACATAAAATCCCAAAAGAGCTGCGGTTATGGATCAGAGGTCCTGGTGGCCACATAAAATAGAAATCAGACACAGTGGCTCACCCATAACCGCAGCACCTTGGGAGGCCAAGGCAGGAGGATCATTTGAGGCCAGGAGTTCAAGACCAGCCTGGGCAGTATGCTGAAACCCCATCTCTACTCAAAACACAAAAGTTAGTCGGGCATTGTGGAGCACACCTGTAGTTCCGGCTACTCTGGAGGCTGAGATAGGAGGATTGTTTGAGCCAGGGAGGTCAAGGCAGCAGTGAGTTGTGATCGTGCCACTGCAGTCCAGCCTGGATGACAGAATGAGACCCTGTCTCAAAAACAAACAAACAAAACAGAAATCACCTGAGTCACTCATCACCCAGGTGCCTTAGCAGGTGGCACCTTGATATAGATCAACACTGAGAATGGTCCCGCCTGAGGAAAAAGACAATGAGCCAGCCTGGCATGGTGGCTCATGCCCATATGATCCCAGCACTTTGGGAGACAAAGTCAGGTAGATTGCTTGAGTCTCAGAGTTCAAGACCAGCCTGGACAACATAGTTGACCCTGTCTCTACAAAAAATACAAAAATTAGCCAGGTGTGTTGGCACATACCTGTAATCCCAGCTACTTGGGAGGCTGAGGCAGGAGAATCACTTGCACCCAGGAAGCAGGGGTTGCAGTGAGTTGAGATCATGCCATGCCACTGCATTCCAGCCTGGGCAACAGAGTGAGACTCCATCTCAAAAAAAAAAAAAAAAAGACAATGAGCCCTTTCTATTTTCAGATAAACCCCAGGAGCAAAAAAGTCTTCTGTGTCTACTGGGAAAGCACAGAGCAGGGCGGCCAGTGGTCCAGGGATGGCTGCTTCCTGATAAGCATGAACAAGAGTCACACCATGTGCAATTCCACTCACCTGTCCAGCTTCGCTGTCCTGATGGCACTCACCAGCCAGGTATTATACCAGACTGCTAATATACATTAGCAATCTACATTAGCAATCTACAATCTATATTCTGAGTCTACATTACCAATCTACATTAGCAGTCTACATTAGCAATCAATATTAATAGTCTACACTAGCAGTCTACATTAACAATTACATCAACAGTCTACATTAGCAATCATCTACATTGGCAGTCTACATTAGCAATTACGTTAGCAGTCTACGTTAGCAATCTACATTAGCAGTCTAATGATCCCACACTGCCACTGGGCTTGGTGCCTGTGTCAAGGATGCCCCAGTCCAAGGCAGGGAGCCATAATCCCAGTGCAGGAAAGCATAACTGTGAACTCTTTTTCTCGGTCCCAGGAGGAGGATCCCGTGCTGACCATCATCACCTATGTGGGGCTGAGCCTCTCTCTGCTGTGCCTCCTCCTGGCAGCCCTCACCTTCCTCCTGTGCAAAGCCATCCAGAACACCAGCACCTCACTGCATCTGCAACTCTCACTCTGCCTCTTCCTGGCCCACCTCCTCTTCCTCGTGGGGATTGATCAAACTGAACCCAAGGTACTGACAGTGTCTCAGAAGATGCCCTGCCCTGCCGCAAGGGATACTGAGCTTATGGAGCAAAGCTGCACTGGATGCCTTAATAAAATGTCCTTGCATCTGTAGAGGAGAAAAATATAACTTTCCCACTACCCTTCTGAGATCATAGTTGGGACCTGTATAACTAAAGACAGATAAGAGAAAAAGCAAACAAAAGTTTATTAACATGTATGCATATTTCATATAAACATGGGAGATACCCAGGGAATGAGGTATTCTCAAAGAGGTAGTTTAGAACAACAGCATTTTTGACAAAGAATTATATATTTTTGGAGAAGGGAAAAAGACCTTGGGTCTCTAGGGGCAGCAAAGTGTGGAAATCAAATATCTGGAAAATGAGTGATAGATAAAGGCTTATTAGTATCATTGGTTGTATTAGTCCATGTTCAAGCTGCTAATAAAGACATACCTGAGACTGGGAAGAAAAAGAGGCTTAGTTGGACTTGCAGTTCCACATGGCTGGGGAGGCCTCAGAATCATGGCAGGAGGTGAAAAGCACTTCTTACATGGCGGCAGCAAGAGAAAAAATGAGGAAGATGCAAAAGCAGAAACCCCTGATCAAACCATCAGATCTCGTGAGACTTACTCCCTACCACAAGAACAGTATGGGGGAACTGCCCCCATGATCCAAATTATCTCCCACCGGTCCCTCCCACAACACATGGGAATTGTGGGAATACAATTCAAGATGAGATTTGGGTGGGGACACAGAGCCAAACCATTTCATTGGTTATGTAGATTCCTCCAGCATTGACTCCAGGCCAATGAGGATCTAAAGTTGTCTTGGTGGCCGGGTGCAGTGGCTCATGCCTGTAATCCTAGCACTTTGGGAGGCTGAGGCAGACAGATCACCCGAGGCCAGGAGTTTGAGACCAGCCTGGTCAACATCCAAAACCCCATCTCTACTAAAAATACTAAAAGTTAGCTAGGCACAGTGGTGAGTGCCTGTAATCCCAGCTACTCAGAAGGCTGAGGCAGGAGAATTGCTTGAACCTGGGAGGCAGAGGCTGCAGTGAGCCGAAATTGTGCAATTGCGCTCCAGCCTGGGTGACAAGAGCAGAACTCCATCTCAAAAAATAAAGTTGTATTGGTGATCAACTTTTGTCCTCTCCATAGCAGGGGTAGGAGGGTAGAAGGAAGAGAATAGGTGGGAGGAATGCCTTAATGTCCTGGAATACTACTCAGCCTTTAGAAAAAGAAGGAAATTCTGCCATTTGTGATAACATGGATGAACCTGGAGGATGTTATGCTGGGTGAAATTAGCAAGGCACAGAAAGACACATACTGCATGATCTCACTTTATGTGTGGAATCTAAAATAGCCAAAATCACAAAATCCAAGAGGAGATTGGTTGTTAGCAGAGACTAAGACAATGGGGAAGGGTTTCGGGAGATGTTGGTCAAAGGATACCAAATTTCAGTTAGACAGGAAGAATAAATTCAAGAGAACTATTGCACATCATGATGACTATAGTGAATCACAATGGAGTGTATATTGAAAAGTTGCTAACAGAGTAGATTTTAAGTGTTCTCACTCCCAAAAAAAGACAAGTATATAGCCACATGTGGTGGTGTGTGCCTGTAGTCCCAGCTACTCGGGAGGCTGAGGTGGGAGGACCGCTTGAGCCCAGGAGTTCTGGGCTGTAGTGCACTATGCTGATGGGGTGTCCGCACTAAGTTCGGCATCATTATGGTACCTCCCAGGAGCGGGGGACCACCAGGTTTCCTAAGGAGGGGTAAACCAGCCCAGGTCAGAAGCGGAGCAGGTCAAAACTCCTGTGCTGATCAGTAGTGGGATCACACCTGTGAATAGCCACTGCACTCCAGCCTGGGCAACATAGCGAGACCCCGTCTCTAAAAAAAAAAAAAGACAAGTATATAAACATATGTCCTCCTTTTAAGCAAGCAGTGGAAGGGCAGAGAGCTTTTCTTTTTTTTTTATAGGCTTCTTCTCAACTGCCTTCAGTTTAAAATAATCCCCTGGGCCAGGCACAGTGGCTCACATCTGTAATTCTAACACATTGGGAGGCAATGGCAGAAAGATCACTTGAGGCCAAGGGTTCGAGGCCAACCTGGGCAACATAGTGAGACCTTGTCTCTTCAAAAAACAAAAAATAACAAAATTAGCTGGGCACAGTGGTGCATGTCTGTAGTCCCAGCTGCTCAGGGCTGAGGCAGGAAGACTGCTTGAACCCAGGAGTTCGAGGCTGCAGTCAGCTATGATGGCAACCACCACACTCCAGCCTGGGTGACAGAGCAAGACCCTGTCTCAAAAAGAGAATCTTAATCATAATCTCTTACGCTAAAGTGTAACTTTCTTCCTAAATTTTATTTTTCATTGAAAAATAGTAATTGTATAAAATTATGGGGTACAATGTGAAGTTTCCATTGAGGTACACATTGAGAAATGATCAATCCAGGATAATGAATATATCTATCACTTCCATCTTATCATTTCTTTCTGGTGAAAACATTCAAAATTCACTCTTTTAGGCCTGGGGGTGACGGTGCATGCTTGTGATCCCAGCACTTTAGGAGTCCGAGGCAGGAGGATGACTTCAGCCCAGGACTTGGAGACTGGCCTGGGCAACACAGTGAGAGCCCATCTCTAGGAAAATTAGTGGGTGGGGTGGCACATGCTTGTGGTCCCAACTACTCGGGAGGCTGAGGTGGGAGGATCATTTGAGCCTGGGAGTTTGAGGCTGCAGTGAGCTATGATTGTCCCTGGTGACTCCAGCCTGGGTTACAGAGTGAGATCCTGTCTCAAATAAAATAAAATCCACTGTTGGCCAGGCTCAGTGGCTCACACCTGTAATCTCAGCATTTTGGGAGGCCGAGGCAGGCGGATCACCTGAGGTCTGGAGTTCGAGACCAGCCTAACCAACATGGAGAAACCCCCTCTCTACTGTAAATACAAAATTAGCTGGCCTGGTGGTGCATGCCTGTAATTCCAGCTACCCGGGAGGCTGAGGCAGGAGAACCACTTGAATCCAGAGGGTAGAGGTTTCAGTGAGCCGGGATCATGCCATTGCACTCCAGACAGCCTGGGCAACAAGAGTGAAACTCCCTCTCAAAAATAAATAAATAAAATCCACTCTTTTAGCAAGTTTGAAATTCACAACATATTATTATTAACTATGGTCACCATGCAGTATAGTAGGAGTAGAGCGTAGAGTGGAGGTTGCCTGAGGTTGGGGGAAGTGGAGGAGGAAAGGAGACATTGCTGAAAGCATACGAAGTCTTTGAGTGATTAAAAAGGAGGAATGAGCTCTGGTGACCTAGTGCAAAGTGGCATAGGTAAAGGTGGCACATTCTGCCACACTTTCAGTCCCAAGGGCAGGTCAAAGGGTGCCCAGGTGGCCAATGGTAGCCTTTTTTTTAAATATAATTGAGATGGGATCTCACTAAGTTGCCCAGGCTGGTCTCAAACTCCTGGGCTCAAGCAATCCTCCCACCTCAGCTTCCCAAAGTGCTGAGATTAGAAACATGGGCCACTGCGTCCAGTTCCCGTTGACTTTTAATGCCGTTGGTCTGATGTCAGCTGCTATGAACCCAAAGCCAATGTCAAGCAGAGGTCCTAGGGCCAAACTCCACCCTGACAACACCTTCAGGCATCCCTTTCTCCTCCCCCAGGTGCTGTGTGCCATCATCGCCGGTGCCTTGCATTATCTCTACCTGGCCGCCTTCACCTGGATGCTGCTGGAGAGCCTGCACCTCTTCCTCACTGCACGGAACCTGACAGTGGTCAACTACTCAAGCATCAACAGACTCATGAAGTGGGTCATGTTCCCAGTTGGCTATGGCATTCCCGCTGTGATTGTGGCCATTTCTGCAGCCTCCAGGCCTCACCTTTACGGAACCACTGATCGGTGAGCCTGAATCCCACCCTGTGTCATGGACAGTTTCCTAAGAAAGCTTTTGAGGGCAACATTCATGATGATGGTGGAAATATACATAACCAATGCACTCTATGTCCACTTTATAACAGTTCTAACCTCTTTCCCAGCAAGGCAGGGTGAGACAGTGGTAAGAGTTTGCAAAGTCTGGAAGTGTTATACAACCAACAGGGTCATATGCCCACTGCACAGTAACATATCAATCCCCCAAGACAGCAGGGTTTGCAGCAGAGAAAGAGCTTAATGAGGCCAGGTGTGGTGGCTCACACCTGTAATCCCAACACTTTGTGAGGCCAAGGTGGGAGGATCACTTGAGGCCAGAAGTTCAAGACCAGCCTGGGCAATATAGCAAGACCCTCAACTCTACAAAAATAAAAATAAAAATCAGCTGAACACAGTGGCTTACACCTGTAATCCCAGCATTTTGGGAGGCCCAGACAGGAGGATCACTTGAGTTCACAAGTTCAAGACCATCCTGGGCAACACAGCAAGATCTGTGTCTACTAAAAGTTTTTTTTCAAAAATTGCCAGGTGTGGTTATATTATACACCTGTAGTCCCAGCTACTCAGGAAGCTGAGACGGAAGGATTGCTTGAGCCCAAGAGTTCAAGGCTGCAGTGAGCTATGCTCAGGCCACTACATTCCAGCCTGGGTGACAGATCAAGACCCTGTCTCAAAAAAAAAAAAAAAGAAAAAGAGCTTAATAATCTCAGGGCACCAGCGAGGAGATGGGAGAAGACTCAAATCAATCTCCCCAAGGAGTTCTGGACTAAGGCTTTTAAGGGGATCATGGAGGGTGGGGAGGCTGGAAAATTTGGGTCATTGTTCGTGGTACAGTGAATGAAATTGTCGGGAGGCAGAAACTGCCTTCTTTGGTGGCTCAGCTCCTCCTGCAGAACAGGTGCTCCTCCTCAGAGCAGCTGAAGCCAGTAGTTTCACTGGTACGCAGGACCTGAAAGACCATCTCAAGGGAAACTTAATTTTTTGTAGGGTTTGTTGTTGTTTTGAGACAGTTTCGTTCTTGTTGCCCAGGCTGGGGTGCAATGGTACCACAGTCTCAGCTCACTGAAGCCTCCACCTCCTCCCGGGTTCAAGCGACTCTCCTACCTCAGCCTCCCAAGTAGCTTGGACTACAGGTGCCCGCCATCACACCCAGCTAATTTTTGTGTTTTCAGTAGAGATTGGATGTCACCTTGTTTTCCAGGCTGGTCTGGAACTCCTGACCTCAGGTGATCCACCCACCTCAGCCTCCCAAAGTGCTGGGATTACAGGCATGAGCCACCATGTCTGGCTGAATCTTAATGGTTTTTTTCAAAACAGAGTTTTGCTCTTCTTGTCCGGGATGGAGTGCAATGGCACGATCTCGGCTGACAGCAACCTCCGCCTCCCAGGTTCAAGCAATTCTCCTGCCTCAGCCTCCCGAGTAGCTGGAATTACAGGCATGTGCCTCCACACCTGGCTAATTCTGTATTTTTAGTAGAGACAGCATTTCGCCATGTTGGCCAGGCTGGTCTCAAACTCCTGACCTCAGGTAATCCACCAGCCTCGGCATTCCAAAGTGCTGGGATTACAGGCATTAGCCTCCATGCCAGGTTGAACCTTAATGTTTTATAATATTTAAGTTGTTACCTATAGAGCAGTAAACGGAAACTGTTGTCCAGGATCTGTGTGATTCTAGGATAATAGGCAGCAAACAGCTAGGAGGAAGCAGTTCAGAGAGCAAGCTGAAAGCTTGGTCTATCTTCATTTCTCCCATTTCCTTCTTCTCTGATTACTTTTATAAAGTTTATAGGGATGGCTTCAGAAGGAGAGGGCTTTGGGTGTTGCTCAAAAGACCATCAAGATGAATATATAATAGAAAGAAGAGCTTTAAGGCTGGGTGTGATGACTCATGCCTGTAATCCCAGACTTTGGGAGGCCATAGGGGGAGAATGTCAGGAGTTCGGGACCAGCCTAGCCAACATGGTGAAAGCCCAACTCTATTAAAAATACAAACTTTAGCCAGGCATGGTGGTGTGGGCACCTGTAATCCCAGCTACTCAGGAAGCTGAAGCAGGAGAATCACTTGAACCTGGGAGGCAGAAGTTGCAGTGAGCTGTGATTGTACCAGTGCACCCCAGCCTGGGTGACAGAGTGAAATGGTCAAAAAAAAAAAAAGAGAGAGAGAGAGAGAGAGAGAGAGAGAGAGAGAGAGAGAGAAAGAAAGAAAGAAAGAAAGAAAGAAAGAAAGAAAGAAAGAAGAAGGAGAAGGAAGGAAGGAAGGAAGGA